AATAAATAAATAAATATATATATATATATATATATCACCAGGCTTTTCATACATTCTCGTATTATTTAGGCGATTCAGGAACATTCGGGAACGTCTAAGAAGTATACCGGATATTGAGGTTATTATGCTCCAGCTCTCCGGATAAAGCGAGAGATCAAATATGTCCTGCTCCAGATGGTTGAGATTGTTGAAGTGAAGGTACACTATACTTAATCGGGGAAGTCCGTGGAAAGCTCCTACCTCGATCGTCTCCAGGACGAAATTAGCGATAATGTCAAGCATCTGTGCAATAAATACCAGATAATTATTAAACGGAATAGGTAAACATTATGGAGCGTTGCGGTACAGAGTGCAGCCTATATAACTATTTTTTTGTCGAAATTCTACTAAACGTTTCTATATCAGAGCTGTCGGATGACAGCACACGCTGACGAGGTTATTCATATGCTGCGTGACAAAACCTCACAATTTACTGATTTCGCAATAGCTTATCATAATCCACAGTGAGGATTCATCGTACTAGTACCCAGTGGTAAACTCGCAAATTCGCTTAATCCGGATTAGATCGCAACTTGCCTCTAGCTTGTTTAATCCCGCGAATGCTCCGGCTTTAATGGAAGTTAGCTTGTTCTTAAATAGTTTCAAGAAAGTAATGCCGTCTGTGTTTTCGAAGGCCCCAGCATCGATGCGGCCGATGCTATTGTATTCTAGTTCGAGACTGGTCACTTTTCTCAATCCGGAGAAGGTGCCCGCTTCGAGAGCGTGCAGATTATTGTATTTCAGCATCATCGTGTAGAGTTGTCCCATTTCGGCAAAGAGCCCCGGTTCGATGAACCCGATTTTGTTATGCGACAAGTCCAAGTACTGAAACAGTTTAGGGATGAAATCGGCTTAAGACAGGGCAATGGTGCAGTAGCCACAAATTTTTGGAAATGCGAGTGTGAGATTGCGGTTGGACAAACGATAGAAATGGCATCACGCGATCGTGGGGTGAAACACTGCGTAATAAACACACTGTAAAGTTACTAACACTCCCACGGCAGCTCATGGCCGTTAAAAAAATTTGTACCTCTAGTGTTGATAGACCTCCCAGCGCGTTGGGTGCAATGGTAGTGAGTGAGCCGAATTCTAGAAAGAGCCTACGTAGTCGCGTGAAGGGGGAGAATATTCTGTCAGGCAGCGTGGTGAAGCGATTGTAGCTGAGATGCAGATATTCTGAAAATAATGATAGAAATTATCATCCGTGTCACATCGAGATTCGCCTGAAATGATTGTCATCTATCTTTACTCCTTCCTTTATTTCATCAGGACAGAGCTCTCTCGTGTTTTCTAAATCCCTGTTTCAATCAGTGAATACAGTCGCGGGATGGTTGGGGGGACGAGGGTGTCTATTACCAGTATCCCAGGTAACATATATTCATATAAACATATATATAACATATACATAATAATAAATATATTCCAATTTCTAGGTAAAAATTACATGTCAATTTCTAAGTAAAAAAATATGCCAGTTCCCAGTTAAATAAAATCGCAACCACCCCGCTATTTTAAATCTTAAAATCATCCTAATTTTAAACATTTATCCGGCATTAACCGGCTACCAGATAATTAAAAATGGCCCAATCCCGCGTCCCCAAAATATTATAACGCCTATACCGCACTTGCCGCTCTAAGCGGTGACTGCATGCAATGCCGCCGTACGGTCATGCAAACTACACGGAGCACTTACCGACATGGCTGACAGAGGGGAAGATCACCGACGGCAGCTCGGTCAGCTGCAGCGACGTCAGGATCAGCTCCGTCAGGCCGCGTATACCCGCCAACGACTGCTCATTCATCGTCGGTCGGCTGGAGGAGCTAATGGTCAGCGAAACTATCTTCATGCCGCTGAACATGCCTGCAGGTATCTCGGTCAGGTCGCCGAAGCCGCTGATCTGAAGGCGACTCATCGTCGTGTTCTGCAAGCGGCCAAACGATGGCCCGTCATCTCTGCCGCCGACATGTACGAACCGGCGCAATAGACGCTCGCGCCGTCCTGATCATTGCCGCAGGTGCATGGAGAAATGACATGATCCTCTGGGCAGAAGCTCGCTGCTTGTGCGGCCGCTGTCAGCAGCAACAGGAGCGATGGAAGAAACTGGAGCCACATCTTCGTTTCAGCTAGCATCAGAGTGTCTTAACTCACCTGCGTCTAACTCTGGCAGAGGGAGACTATTTATATGCTCGTGAGCGCCAGGTCCGACTCGCGGGGCAGTATTACACATCGCAACATGACGCAGCATCTTTACTAATTATAGCCTTATCGGGTTCCAATAGTCATTGAGTATTTACTGATGATAACGGAGATAGTAATCCGAAATGTATGTTAACCCTATCGTAAGGAAGCGGTGTATTCTATTAACCATATTGTAAGTAATCAGTGTATTCTGTTAACCCTAATGTGACTCGGAATCAATGTATTTTGTCAACCCTATTGTGAGCGAGTGGGAAGTGACCAAGTGTTCTCGTGAGCTTAAACACTGTCTATGTCAGCTCTCACTGTGATCTCTTGCGTTTATAGAATGTCACCTTATAGCGTGTTTAACGCCGAGCTGTTCTTCTTTTACTGTGAGTGAGTTTAAGGCGTGAGATCAAGCAGCTGCTAAGGCAACATAGCATGAACTAAATCGATGTGTCTAAGAACCAGTGCAGGCATGGTTTCCTACAAACCTTACCATTTCCTTAAATTTAGGTGCCGAATAATATCGTTAAAAATATGCATCTCTATCATTTCTTACATATCATAATCTTTTATCATTCTAATGCCGTATCACTAGCATATGTTTATGAATGTGAACATGTTTCAACCAGACGCTTGTGTCAGTTTATTCATAGTCGAACGTCACGGGCGTGAAGTTGATCAGCTTATACGTAGATAGCGCAACGATAGATATCGCTATGCAGCCTACTGTGGCGTGAGACCGTCTGCATCTGTGCCAATTTTTTAGATAATGTGGGGACGTTATGATATCTATCGTTCATCTGGTATTAAGTTCGAGCGCTAAATATTTAATCTCATATTTAACATTGATATTCTTATCATTTACTCCACCCTTAACGCTATTCAGCCTATTGTGGCGTGAGACCGTCTGCATCTGTGACAATTACATGAAGGCGCAAATGTTACAAACAAGCTCAAGGTTCATATTTTGACTTGATCACTTTTCAAATGCACCAGCGAGCGAAAGAATGTGGGTTTAAATTTTTCGAGCCTGCAAATTACGTTATAGGTGGCAGTTGGATCTACAGGTGATTCGTTGTTTAGGAGATTATGCATTAGTCTATACATTATGATATTAGACCGTGGATGTGTGACTTACCATTTAGTTAATTATAAACATCGCGTGCATATCTTACAGTCGTGCGGTTGATGGACTTCACACTTGCATGCTTGGCGAAACCTTAAACAATACAACAGTATGACGTTTTGACGTTATGAAAATTTAAACATCTGCGAAACCATATCTGCCCGCATGTGTGAGCGTGCCTGTGGGGAACGCAGTAACTGGACTATCACGGTGAAAATACACGTTTTTAAAAGTGTGTAGATTTATAATGCTGCCGCTTTTACACTAAGAACGCATATGTGCTTTATTGCAATTGAAATATACTAGACGCGATGCGGCCATGATGCCGAGGCGCGCCGAGGATTGACACTTTGTGTCTTCCAATCGCAGCCTATGCCGCACCCGTAAGTGGTTTATAATTTTAAAGGTATTACCCATTACAGCACCAAATCGCCGATCTCAGGAACTAGGGCATTCTGCTAGGCTAGAACGGTTTTCTACGATAGAGTTTGGCACAAATACGAAAATAACTAGCTGTTTAGCGCACTGCGCTACGTCCTTCTGTTGCATTTTCGCATCTCCGTAATCAGAATAAGCCCCGCCTTCTTCGTTGATGGGCATGAATGGGGCGTCACCGACGTAACCAGTTCCTGTACCTACTGTCTTTCGCCAGCCTGCTTACTTTTCGTAAATCATGAAATGCCCGGCCGATGCATTTTGCATCGAAGAGGAAAATTTTCGCCATTTTCACTCGCTGTCAGAAGTGAACAAGTGCGTCATTCATTGAACATTTTAGCAAAACACAGCACACTGCACGACAGAGGTTGGAATGTTCGGAGCCAATGTTTACATGCCACAGCGCCATCCCTTGGATGTTTTATAAGTAAATATGGGGATTTTCAATAAAATAATGCGTTTTTAATGTATTTACCAAGATTTACGTATAGAAACTATATGTTATTTTTACTAATTTCTTCGTATCTTTCCTTGGAGTTTTCATCCTCTTTCAATGTCTTTCGGTAGATTTTCGGCGTTTTCTGCGTGACTATTATTTTGTGCAGGCACTCATTTTGGAAATCCTCCAACATTTTTACTTCTTCCTTAGTTAAGTTAGTCCATGTTTCACTGTTATTTAGGAAGGAAGGTAAAACTGTGCATTCCTATAATTTCACTCCTGCTTCTATAGTATGATTTCGATAATTTTGCTTTTCTGCCCATGATAATATTTTCCTCATCATGAACCTACATTTTTAGTTCGGACTCTTATCATATCGTTATAACCGCCTATATCATTAATTAAATCCCCTAGGTATGAATATTTGGTGCATTTTTTGATTACTTGGTTGCCTATTAATATCTCATTTATGCTTTCTTTGTTTGTGAATTTTATAACCATTGTATTTGTTTTGTTTATATTAAATTCTAATCTTTTTGATTCAGCTAATCTGGAGCATGACTGAGCGATTTTTGTTACTTTTTTATAATCTCCAATTCCTACAATATCCTCCATATAATAGTTATTATAATCATTGTCATCTTCTAAAACTACACACCATCCGCTGACCGCTGTGGAGACGTGCGCCGGGCCTCGAATTTGGCGCACGTCTCCACTGCGGACAGCGCCTCATACTTGAACATCCCCGCGGTCGCGTGCGCATATCCCGCGGAACTGCGCGTCTCGTCCGCGCGCAGCGCTCAGGTTCAACAGCAAAGCTGTGCCACGCAATCTTATATCATATCTCTCTGGATCTGTCCCTGGCTTGCATATATAGTGGAGCAAGTTTATCAAAGTCGACTTTCGCGGTAGTTTGTTGGTGTGGCTTTTAACATAAGCATTGTTCAAAACCACCCATTGCCAACTCATTGTTATTGATGTGGTTTCATTCTAGCATTCATAATATGAACGTAGAGATGGCGCTTTCATTACTTTTGAAAATGGCGTCGATTTTGTTGTTGCATTTGCGGCGGTGGTACCGGTCGCCACGAGCCCTCGGCCGGCAGGGCTTGAGCTTGCTTGCTGGGGGATTAAATGTTCTGTGTTTGTAATCAGTTCTACGTTTGTAATGTCCTTCTGTGTGTTTCGTGTGTGTTTTGAAGCATATTGCAGCAAGTACTCACTCACCGGACGAATTCTATGGGGGCTGCCATTGGTCGCGATTGTAACCCCCTCTAGCGGCCGAGAGCGGCGCTAGCCTAGAAAACAGCTGGTGCAGTGGGGGGCGTGTGCAAAAAGCGTGGTTAGCGGTGTGAGTTTGAAGCGGTGCGGGCAGCGTGATTTTTTTTCCTAGGTCAATCAAGAACATAGGGTTCTAGTGAGCGCTGCCATTGGTTGATACAAATCACGTGCCTCAAACTCCTGTTTTATGGTGCATTCACTGCATTGTGACCCTAACCCTAACCCTAACCCTAACCCTAACCCTAACACGCTGACCGCTGTGGAGACGTGCGCCGGGCCTCGAATTTGGCGCACGTCTCCACTGCGGACAGCGCCTCATACTTGAACATCCCCGCGGTCGCGTGGGCATATCCCGCGGAACTGCGCGTCTCTTCCACGCGCAGCGCTCAGGTTCAACAGCAAAGCTGTGCCACGCAATCTTGTATCATATCTTTATGGATCTGTCCCTGGCTTGTATATAGTGGAGCAAGTTAATCAAAGTCGACTTTCGCGGTAGTTTGTTGGTGTGGCTTTTAACATAAGCATTGTTCAAAACCACCCATTGCCAACTCATTGTTATTGATGTGGTTTCATTCTAGCATTCATAATATGAACTTAGAGATGGCGCTTTCATTACTTTTGAAAATGGCGTCGATTTTGTTGTTGCATTTGCGGCGGTGGTACCGGTCGCCACGAGCCCTAGCTCGGCCGGCAGGGCTTGAGCTTGCTTGCTGGGGGATTAAATGTTCTGTGTTTGTAATCGGTTCTATGTTTGTAATGTTTTCCTGAGTGTTTCGTGTGTGTTTTGAAGCGTATTGCAGCAAGTACTCACTCACCGGCCGAATTCTATGGGGGCTGCCATTGGTGGCGATTGTAACCCCCTATAGCGGCTGAGAGCGGCGCTAGCGTAGGAAACAGCTGGCGCAGTGGGGGGCGTGTGCAAAAAGCGTGGTTAGCCGTGTGAGTTTGAAGCGGTGCGGGCGAGCACACGTCGAGCTGCAAGAGTTTAGATAGAAGTTTAGAAGTTTAGAAGTTTAGGAGTCTAGAAGTTTAGTGCGCAACGTACGAGCGGCTGTTCAGCGAGTGCCGAGTGCGTCCGAGCGAGAGGGAGAGCGAGTGAGGACCGCAGACTAGTGAGTGAGTACTGTGAGCTGTTCGGCACACCGTCATGGCTAGTAATAGTAACAGTAACAACAATAAAAATTGTGAGTTAATAGACGTCAACAGGCAGATTCAGTATCCCCTTTGAGTATCAGCCTTAGACGCATCGGGCGTGAGTCCGCCCCTTGTGTACATGGCCGTACGAGTGCACCGTCGGCTGGCTGCCTAGCCCTCCCTACACGTTAAAGTAATATCTAACTAGTAACCCTGCGCCATAGGGTGCACCGTGTCGTGTTGTGTTGTGTTACTGTCTGTCCTGTGCCGTCCGTCGTCTGGCATTGTTGACTAACCGCACCAGAGCCGGAACGAACGCTGGGTTGGCTGTATCCGAAGTGAGCGCAGTAGCACAGAGGCGCTCGTGAGGGAGTGGAGACCGGGTAGTGACGATACAACACACAAGGTAGGAGTATGTATCTTGTATTTCTCGTTGCCACTATCCACCGTGTTGCACTGCACCATACGTAAGGTAAACCGCTAGTTACTGCGTATCGTCAGGTGGCGCCCTCGGGTGTCGCGGAGAGACACAAAACGCTACACATTTAAGCGGCACCGCATGTTTTCTACCTCCTGCTCCACAACACTCGGTATGGAAAGTAGAGAGACTTAAAACATTTCATATTTACGTTTAGAATCAATGTTG